TTGTGATTTGACAGCACACGTTGATGCTGTGTAGTGGGGTAAAGGCCTTGCCTCTGTGGCTGAGCTGCTCAAAATAAAACCTCGTTTATAGTTGTGGTAAAGGCATTTCCCTCCCCTCACTGCCTGTGTAAAACATGAATCTTCCCTGCCATAACTGTGTTTAGATGAGAAGGTGTGGGGGAACATACTGACTTTTCATTTGAGCCCTTAAGTATTTATTCTGTCTACAGCAGGTGCAGGGGACCTTTAGCCCACCAGGTGTTGCTGGATACAACTCCCATCAGCCTTGGCAAGCATATGGCCTATGGCCAAGGATGATGGGGGTTGTAGTCCAGCAGCAATCTAGAGGGCCAATCTACAGGAATCTGAAGGCTGCTGCCAGAGGGCTTTTGCTGGGGTGTCAAGCGGAGGGGAGCAATGCAAGGGAAGCTAAACTGCCTGAAGGCAGCCTGTCTGTTTTCAGCATATGTTAGGAAGATATTAGCATATAATTATAATGGAACAGGAATGCTGCAGCAGAAGGAAAGGGTTGCTGGGAAAGGGTGCTGCTCTCAAATTGTCCTCAGCACCCAGCTTTTTAAGGCCAGTTGTGGCTCAAGAGGTCTACCCCCGCTCCTATACAACCATCTTGCAAAAGACCTCAGCGGGGGTTTTTTGCCCACCAAGGAATATGTTCATCTTTGAATACAGCAACAGGCTTTGAAAGACTTAGAATGTAAAGAACACATTCTGTTTCATTTGAAAATAGATGGGAAGTCCTGGCAAAATTACACAGCATAGGTTTGTGTGTTAAGTGTCTTCCAGATGGTCCTGGAAGGGCTGCTGATAAAGACTCCTTTGGTGGTCATCTTGCAAATAGGGGCGTGTTGTGGGGAGCTGTTGGCCAGTACATTCAGGATTAACCCACCAAACACAGCACACATTTCAAGCTTTACTTTTTTAAGCTTATTGAGCGTTTTCTGTAATTCTGCAGTTGTGGGGTATCTTTGAGATGTCAAATAGGAAAAACAAGAGTTTTTTTGTTGCAGATTGGGTTTCATGGAGGCCAAGGAGAGAACAATGGAGTAAGTGTTTCTTTTTCTTCTTTTTCTTCCTGAATGTATTTTGTCTGCATAAAATATTGCTTGCTTCGTATCTGTTCCAGCAGGATGCCATGTACTCCGCTGCCCAAAGTATGATGCAATAGCCAACAAGCTGGGCACAGCAGCAGAACTGAGATGCATTCCAGACTCTGAGAAGGCAATGCTTGGGAGGTGTAGTGAGAGGTGCCTTAGGTCGGGCAAAAAAGTGCAATGGTTCATAGGCAAGTAGATACAGAGTTTTTGCAGAGATGTTGTTCTCTTCCCTGCTCCCCAGTGAACTTGCTTCTAAAATGCCTACACTTTTGACAAGCAATTGGAAAGAACAGTTTAATTGCCAAGTTGTTTGCATCAAGTTAGGTTTGGTAAATGGCACTGCTGCATTTTTTTCCTGGGGTGCTCCCATTTTCCTGATTTTTAAAAAGTAAAATGACAACAGTCTGCTGGCCTGTGGAGGGGTGCTTCTTGTAAATTTTGTCTCTGTGTGTGTGTGTGTATGATAGCTTGAGAACCATGTGAATACGGGTTTTTTTTAAAAAAATGTAAGCATAGGTGCTGAGCAGAATTCATTCTATTGTAAGAAAGCATAATTAAGAGTGCTGTTGCTCAAGTCGGTGGTTTCATGGGTCCATAATTCAGAAGCGTAGTTTCAGCAATGTGAATTTCTTATTGGAGGACTTCACTGTCCAAAAACAGATTAGGGACTTGTGTAGGCCTTAAACTCGGGACAAGTAATTTCGTCTAATTCTTACTGAACTGTGACCTTGTAATGTTTGCAAACCAAATTCTAGGTTTGTGATGATGAACACACACTGACATCCCTGAAACGTTCTGGTGCCAATACGTCTCCCTGTACCGCCGATGTACCTCTGAGTAGGCTTTAAATGGCAAATGGTTCTTAGGGGAAATTTACTAAGAATTGATATTTTCTGCTGCAGCTTCTTTTCTGTAACAAGCCTGATGGTTTGCCTGCAAAGATCTGCAGGCTTGATATAGAATCAAACCAAATTAAGAGTTGAGGAAAATATTTTCTGGCCCTGTTACGTATAGGACAATCAAATGAATAGTGAGGGACACCCTTCACTGTACCAACTACACAAATACAGGATATGCTGTATTGTTTTTAAATGATGTATTGTTTTTAACACTCGATTGGGAGCTGCCCAGAGTGGCTGGGGAAACTCAGCCAGATGGGCGGGGTATAAATAATTTATTATTATTATTATTATTATTATTATTATTATTATTATGGCCACAAGGATATGGCAAAGAATGTTTGCTGAAATTGAAGGCAGGCAACCACTCTCCTTTTCCATTCCACATATTGCTCAAGAAAATGCTCAAGTGATCATGTGGTACTATTTGGGCTGATCTCCACATCAAGCAAAGGGAACAATTCTGATGGATGAAGACATTATCCATTTTTAAAATTATGCTACTAGCTTTAAATTTAGAAAAATATGATGGAGAGATACTGAAAGACCTTACCAGATGAATTGGCCTTTGTATCCAGATCCCCCCCTTTCATATATTCTACAAAAGTACTATATTCTATTTGAATGGCTTCTTTTTTAAAAAAACCAACAACTTAGATTTAAGTGGATAAGTAAGTCTGACATTGTAGTTTATGTTTCTAGCTGAAATTGGGTAAAGAAAAGTTGGCTTCTCTAATGCCTACATAAGGCACAGGTTGTAAACAGGAACATTTTGTCTCAGTTTTGCTTGTACAATCGACTCTCAACTTATGTAGAGGTTATGTTGTGGGTACAGCACACAAAGCCAAAATCATGTATAGTAAAAAAACCCAAAAAAACCACAACCACACACAACCCATTCCTCCTGTACCTCCAAATGCCATCCCAAGGCCACCTGTACTCTCTCAAGGCCTCTGAACACTCTCCCTGCCCCCTCTGACCACTCTCTCAAGGTGAGTGCAATGGCAGGTGAGATTGCCAACATATTTTTCCCCAGACACCTGCCCCCTTTATAATTTATTTTTGTTTTTTTCGGCCAAGTACTTAAAACTCTATATGCGTAAGTTGTGAGTCAGCTGTTTATTATGTTGGTGCAGTCAACTTTAAAATCCAGAAAGACAAATTAAGGCAGTGAAAATGCTTTGTCAGAGATGGGGAAGGTGTGGGAATCCAGTTGTTGCTGGGCTCCAACTTCCATCAGCCCCAGCCAACCTGGCCAGTGATCATCTGAAGGGTCAGATGATCACAATCAATAGTTTCAAGGATTTAAAAGACTCTGGAGACTATCTGCTGATTTTCAATATGGGCCAATACACTAGCTGTTTTTGAGCCAGCATTGTTGGGTTTACGTTTCCAACAACACCTTGTCTAGGAGGAGTATGTTCAGTACATGGTACAGCTCTTTATGAATATAAAGTAGAGAATCAGTATTACATAAACCACCAATATTTTTTCCCCCTATGGTGTGTTTGTACATACACAGAAACACACCACAGAGCAAAAAATGTAGGTAGTTTATGTAATACTAAACAAGCCCTGATACTGGAGAGGCGAAACAGTACTGTTGGCCAAAGCAGAGGTGTAAGAATGAAGAGTCTAGTAATAAGTCTTCCTTATCCTGCAGCCTAAGTCTTGGCACTTGATAATATCTCTCTGCCTCTCCTTGACATACTTGATGACATTGCTCTGTCTGTGCAGAGCCCACCCTGCATAGGCGTAGCCAAGGGGGGCAGTGAGGGGCAGCTGCCCCCCGATCAATAACAATAAAAATACATAGCTGCCCCCCCCCACAAAAATCCTGCTATGCCCATGCAACCCTACTTTCAAATATGCAAACCTGACTAGTACCTGTTACATAGATTTTTTGCCTCCAGAGCGGTAGTAGCCTTTGGTCAAGTGAGCTTTTCCTTCAACATAGATTGATATTGTTGTAATACTTCACAGATTTGAACCCAGGAAAAAGAGAAGCTCTCCTGCCTTCTTGCTTTAGCGGTTCTGGTGGAAAGTGAGCAGTAGGTTTTAGAGTTTGTTGGGGCTTCAAGCACTTAACTGTATTGTTCTGAAAATATTACAGCACTGCTATATGCTGGCATGGCAATAATAAATTAGCTCTGGTTGAGACCCTTAAAGCCATAACTTGCTTTTTGCAGTGTATTTTAGTAACGGTTTCCAAATAGAAAAACTCTTTTGTGAGTGTGGAGAGAAGTGATATTTTGATCTGAAAGGGCTGCTTGGATGTTGGGTTGAAATAAACAACAGACGAGTGACAAGTGTCATATGGAAGGCATCTACCGAGCATGTCTCAGGGAGTCCCTTTTATTGAATATTACAACATTGCCACATATGTGCTTGTTGCTGATTGGTTAACACAAATACAATGCAAAGGTTGAATATAGGCATTAATCATCAATAGATTAAAGGTTGGGAAAGGGAACACATGGTTAGACAGGCATGAAATCCTCCTTGTTAAACTATTACCAGTGATTGATAATAAACAATCACTAGTGATTGATATTGCATGACTTAATAAACAATCACTAGTGATTGATATTGCATGACTTAATAAACAATCACTAGTGATTGATATTGCATGACTTGAAAGAGCATAACAATCGCATTCCGTAGATGTGGTCAACAGTGCGTTAAGAACAGGTCAAGGTATGATGAACTCAATGTGAACTGAACATTCCCAGACTCATGTGCAGAAGCAGAACTTCCCATCATCTCCCCCTTCCTTTTTTTGTTTTTTGCGAAATGTTGCGGTGTGATTTCAGGGTGGATGGGACAAAAATACTTCGGGATACGTGGTATGCCAGCGCATGCCCGAAATAAGTCCGCCCACCGATGTTGCTTATGTGATTTCAGGGTGAATGGGACAAAAATACTTCGGGATACGTGGTTTGCCAACGCATGCCCAAAGTAAGTCCGCCCACATCTCCCCTATTATTTACTGTTGGTGTTGCCACTTCGCAAAGTAGGCAGCAATGATTTTATTAGGTGGCTGAGGAGGAGAAAGAAACTGAGACCAAAGACGCATGAGACCAGGAATGCATTGGATGAAGCAGCATAGCAAAATTAATATACATATTATGACAATAGCATACTGAAAAAGATTACGAAGCCAATTCAGGTGTGGCAACCAGCCAGTGAGCCACTGGGCGAACGAATCCCAGAGGCCAGAAAATCCAACGTCCTGTTTAATGTGGTGTGTAAGATTTTGCAAATGAGAGATTTGCTTTTGAATGGCTTTAGAATTATCAGTAATATTGAAGCAACACATGTCATTCACTTGTTCACAGCCATAATGATGAAGCATGAGCAAATAGTCAATAGCAGCACGGTTTTGTAAAAGTCCATGGTGAAGTTCACTCTGTTCTTTATTCAAAAGGTGAAGAGCTTGTGAAGTAAAATTCAGAGCTTTTGCTGCGGAACAAGCTAAAGAGTTAATGTTCATACTGTTCCGTACAGCCAATCCAGGGACTCCTAAGAGAGAAACAGCTAAGGAAATATATTCAGATCTACTGGGAAGAGAGACAGAATCATCACAATCATTAGTCAATTCCACAGAGCGGCGATATCGAGAGCAGGACAAATGATGCTTTTTGGGTAAAATGATGGACAAACGGCTTAAGCAGCAGGGTGTGCCATGGCTGATGTTTGCTGGAATATAATTGAATGTATAGCCTGGGCACGACCAGAACCAGCCTTCAGGCAGCTCTGTATATTTATATACATAAGAAATATTTACATAATTAGAGCAGTTAAAATTATCCTTGCCCATTTTCACACAGTTGGTTATTGTGCAACTGACCATACGGGCGCAAGTGACATTAAAGGAAGCCACGTATGGGGTCAACAAATCAATGGCCAGAGGTGGGCGCCGGTGCACTTGGGTACCCCAGGTATGGTAACCGGAATAACCAAGGGTGCGGAGAGAATCATTTTGGGGTAGGGATGAATAAAACCAGGTATCATTTTGTATGTCAAAAGGGTCATGGCAAACAGGGATAAGGCAAGAGCCAAGGATTTCACCTATCGATACCTGCTGGGTTAGACAAAAGGAAGAAACATTGAGGGTTTTTGCAAAAGATTCCCACACATTTATTGGTGTGGAACCACCGCTATTAAGAGCGGAAGCAGAGAGGGGCAAAAACAAAACGCTGAAAATGAGCACTATCATGGAATTTATATTAAGGCAGGAAATGAGGCACAGAAGCAAATTATCAGGGGTTGCTTCTAGCTGTTTTTCCTTTCTAAGCTGTTCAGCTTGAAATGAGAGTGATTTTATTTGGCCCCACGTCACTGGTCCATTGCGATTTCCCCGCTTGCGAGTCCTGGGGGGGCTGGGCGCCGCATCCTGGGCGATCTGGAGTTGACAGTCAAACTGCGGTATCGGATTCGGCAAGGCCTGTTGCCATGCCATGGTAGAGGCGGATGCAGCGTGCGGGAACCCAGCGAGCACCCTGTGGAGTAGAAACTGCAGCATAACCCTTTCCCCAGGTAATCAGTTTTACTGGTTCACTCCGTTCGTTGGAGGGCAATATTTTATAACGGACCAGCGGGGCTGGAAGTCTCTCTTTTTGCTGGAAATGTTTTTGGAGGCGAGTATAGGGTTGATGATCCTGTATGGAGACATTCAAATGATTGAGAGTTAAGAGAACACTAGCCAACCAGCCTTCCTTTTCTGAAAGTGAGGCTGGGACTCCGGGCTTTTTTTCCTGTCGAATTAAGGCAGTTTTTAGGGTGCGGTTGGCACGTATCATCCATGTAATGAAAAACTAAAAGGTGTGGATACTGAAGACGGAAAGGCTGGAGGGCTTGATTCACATAATATTGGCACATGGTAGGGGAATTCAGCATTCCTTGCGGTAGGACTTTCCATTGATACCATTCCGTGGGCTGGCTGTTATTTAACACAGGAACAGTGAAAGCAAAGAATTTACGATCCTTCTCCTGTAAGGGGATGGAGAAGAAGCAATCTTGCAAATCTATTATAGCCAATTGATAAGAATGGTGGATCACATTCGGATTAGGCAGACCACACTGCAAAGGCCCCATGGGTTCAAGGATGTCATTAATCTTCCTTAAATCCTGGAGAAATCTCCATTTCCCACTTCTCTTTTTTATGACGAAGATGGGGGTGTTATAGGGGCTAACAGAGGACTCAATATGGTCTGCCAATAATTGTTCATTCACCAATTGTTTTAAAGCAGGTAGCTTTTCCCTCGTTATGGGCCATTGTTCTACCCATACCCGGGTGGTTGATTTCCAGTGGAGGGGGAGTGCAAGCTTACTCATTAAATTGAATGGTAGCTTGTAATTGTTGTAGTAGGTCTCTGCCCCACAGATTGAGGTGGATTTTCAGCACACAGGGCTGGATGTATGCAATGGTTTCAGAGCTATCAGGCAGAGAAACAGGCAACCACTGTACGCTTTTGGAAGAGGTTTGAGGTCCACCCACACCCCAAACTGCAGAGGCAGACTCAAGGGGCCACGTGGGGTCCCAGCAATTGCTGGATATGACAGAAATGTCTGCGCCCGTGTCAATCAAGCCTTCCAGAACTTTGCCATTGATTTTATACTTACGAAGAAGTTTCTGTTCACCAATCCTCTGGATTACAGCTAACAGCTGTGGAGAAAGGGGAGAGAGCTGGTGCAAACTACTATCCATAATAGAAACAGTAGGATGAGAAGGGAGCACTACCAAATGCGCCCAAGACTCACCCTTTTTTAACTGCATGGGCATATGGCTCCAGAGTTGAACCATGATTGTGCCCACATAGTCAGGATCTAGGACTCCTGGAATAACCAGGATTCCTTCTTTGGCCGCAGAGAATTTGGGTAAAATTAAACCTGCGACCTTAGGTGGTAGTGGGCCCGCCAATTGGGTGGGCATGAGCACAATTTCACCAGGTAAAACAGCATCTTTGGTTTCCTGATTGATTAAATCAATGGTGAAATCAGAGGGTGTATCCTTAGAAAAAGTCTCAATAGTGGAGACTAACGGCGGAGGGCTCTCTATTTGTCCTGGCCTGAGAGCTGGGCCCCTATGGAGTTTCCCGAACTCCTGCACTGATTTGCCCAATGATAGCCTTTTCCACATTTTGGGCATTTTTTGGAAGGTTTAGCCCTATCAGCATCACCATTCCTGCTTTCTCCCCCGCCAGGGGCTCTGCATTGTTTGCAATTGAAGCAATTGCCCGTGGGCTTATTGCCAGCCTGGATGGCACCGGCAAGCAAAGACATCGCGTGGTTCTGGCTGCCAACATCTGCACAGGTTTGAATCATATTGGCCAGGTCATATTTGGGGCGGTGTATGATTGACTGCAAAGCCTTCTTGCAATCGGTGTTTGCATTTTCAAAGGCCAATTTTTTCATCAATTCATTTTGAGCTGTAGGGTCATCAATCTGCCTGGTGATTGATTCTTTCAATCTGTCTATAAATTGATGGTAAGGCTCCGAATGTTGTTGCTTAATATTAACAAAGGAGCTTAGTGGTTGCCCTGAGACAGGGACTTTCCGAAAGGCGCGTTGTACACAGGTCACGGTGCGACTGAAATGTAAAGGTGTCAATTGCGCCTGGGCTGGTATATTATCATACAGACCAGCGCCAAAGAGTTGGATGGCTGAATGCTGTGGATCAGCCAGGGCTGCTGCGCTATGCTTAAATTCACTTTCAAAAACCACATACTGAGCAGGAGATAAAAGCATGCGCATCAAATCCTTCCAATCTTGAGGTAGCATTGTTGTAACCATTTGCGATCCCCTCCAGCATCCCTAGCACATAAGAAGATTTGAGTCCAGAATCAGTAATGGCTTTCCTTAATTCTCTCAGAACAGAATAAGAAAGCGCCTCATACATAACCTGCTGTTGTGCAGTGCCGGGGTTCGCATAGGAGATAGGGAAAGCAGATGGCATTTCCCCAGCCCATCCAGCCTCTTCCTCTAAGGAGAGGACCCCTTGCTGCCTAGCTTGAGAAAGCGCGGCGCGCACAGCTCCTGCGGGAGAGCACGCAGGGGCTGAGGCAGGCGAAGGAGGGATGGGGGGTGGATGTGGGCTGAGGCGTAGGGAGGGGTGGGCAAGGTTGCGATGAAGGCAGAAGCTTTGGGTAAGGTGGGGGATTGTCTGCTTCGGCTAAAAGAGCAGGTGCCAACGGAGATGCCTGTGGTCCTAACCTAGCGACGGCATCTGCACACTTCTGCCAAGTGAGCAGACAATGAATCGGTGCCCTCGGTTCTGTGAAGAGGGTTTTTCCGATGTTTTGCCAAGCTTCTGATCCCAGAGAGCCGGACTCTGGGTACCAGGGGCACTGGCAAGCAATCTCACATAACAATTGTTCAATTTCTCTCAAAGAAATATGAGCACCTGCCACCCGCTGTCTGACGAGGTGCAGCAGCTCCTTGGCATGCTCCTGTTGGAACTTTGTAAGTCCCCCCCCCCATACTCACGAAGTAGCGCGCTGAGACTTTTCCAGTCGAGTGAAGTATAGGGGTTGCTGCGTAAAGGGATCTGGCACGTCAGGATCACGTCGGGGTCACCAGATGTTGGGTTGAAATAAACGACAGACGAGTGACAAGTGTCGTGTGGGAGGCATCTACCGAGCATGTCTCGGAGAGTCCCTTTTATTGAATATTACAGCATTGCCACATATGTGCTTGTTGCTGATTGGTTAACACAAATACAATGCAAAGGTTGAATATAGGCATTAATCATCAATAGATTAAAGGTTGGGAAAGGGAACACATGGTTAGACAGGCATGAAATCCTCCTTGTTAAACTATTACCAGTGATTGATAATAAACAATCACTAGTGATTGATATTGCATGACTTAATAAACAATCACTAGTGATTGATATTGCATGACTTGAAAGAGCATAACAATCGCATTCCGTAGATGTGGTCAACAATGCGTTAAGAACAGGTCAAGGTATGATGAACTCAATGTGAACTGAACATTCCCAGACTCATGTGCAGAAGCAGAACTTCCCATCACTTGGACACGTTTTGGAGACCAGAAAGGGAAAAGGAAAAGCTGAGAGTAGTCTTGAATTTAGGTGGATCTCCAAAAATAGAAATTGATGTTCATGTCCCCCTGTGAACTTGCTTTGAATCCAGGTTGTTGTCTTACGCTTAGTGGAAGGGAAAAAAGTTAGGGCTTGGACAAGACTTCCTTCTGTGTTAGGGTTTGATTCCCTTTTTTCATTTAATGAGCTTCACATTTTTTTAAAAAAGTAGGCACTTCCAAAGCATACTCGTCGATAGTTATCCTTTATTAGGCATAGCAAACCACACATTATCAAACAGACACCGTATACAAATTGTGCAAAATACGAGCTCAACATAACAAGGTTTGGCCCAGTCAGATCTTTAACTCCAGAGAAAATCAATTTGCATAAATAATACAATATATAATGGATCAGTCTTTCTACATGGACAGCACTCAAAAATTCAGCCACTATTAAAATAATTTGATCATTCCTGTCCAAAAGTAGGTCCTGAACCGTTGGTAGCATAGAAATCAGCCAATTGAGTTCTAAGGCCTCTAATAATTGTCTTCTGGCATAAATGCTAAAATCACAAGAAAATAAAATATGCTCCAAAGTATCAGGTTCCTGTTTACTACATTTGCAGAGATGCTCTGATTCTGGGAGAGCTAAATATCTTCCTCTTACTATCATCGAGGGAAACATTAAATCTGGCTAACATAAACAGCCTGCACAATTCATGATTCTTCAGATTTGTCATGTAACCCTTTTGAAAATCTCTAAACAAAGGGAGATTTAATTAGAGAGGAGAGCAAGTGCTGTGCTTTGCAACTTCAAGAGTGGAGAGAACACTTTTTTCTATAAGATTCTTCCTGATAATTTCCCAAATATCTTTGGGGTCAGAATTTTCAAAGTCAGTTAGATTAAGTCCTATCAAGTTCAATTTTCTCCTACAAATCAGTGATAAATTGTAAATTACATTATCACTTAAGAGGTCGTAAAGGAGAGAATTAAGAGATAGGGCTCTATAATGCAGGAATATCCAATATTTCAAGGTTCTCAACAATACCCTTACAGATAAAGTAAGTATTCCCAACTCAAAACTTATTGATTCAGATTTTACAGAATTTGTAAGTCCTAATAATGACCTCTAAAGGACGCGGGTGGCACTGTGGGTTAAACCACTGAGCCTAGGACTTGCCGATCAGAAGGTCGGCGGTTTGAATCCCCGCGACGAGGTGAGCTCCCGATGCTCGGTCCCTGCTCCTGCCAACCTAGCAGTTCGAAAGCATGTCAAAGTGCAAGTAGATAAATAGGTACCGCTCCGGCGGGAAGGTAAACGGTGTTTCCGTGCGCTGCTCTGGTTCGCCAGAAGCGGCTTAGTCATGCGACTTCCGGTCAGCGCCAGCAGCAATGGCGGACCTCCTTTGAGTTTCGGAGGGGGTAGCTCAGCGGGAGATCGGGTCCTGTACGCTCCGGCGAAGCGGGGACCCTCAGAAATCGCAGGCGCGGACGCCTGCGAACGTGGAGGCTCGGCGGGCACCTTGCAGCGCCCCCCCAACCCGAAAAGAAGCCTTTTTTTGAGGCTTCAGAAGGGAGCGGGGGAGAAGCGCGGTGCTGTGAACGGATCGCTGCTTTCACTGAGTGAAGCCGTGTTGCCGTTGCTGGAGAGCGCTGACTTATTCCTGGGACATTTGGACTTAAAATTTAACCGTGAGTAGAAGAATTGGATAAAAGAGCATTATTTGGAGTAATTGGACTATTTGTGAAAAAGCGGAAAAGTTTTAAGCTGTTTAAAAATGTCTGAATTGGCTACCGCGGTGGAAGCGTAAACAGGAAGCGTAAACAGGATCTACCCTTTGGAGGGATAAGGGAAAGACTCTTGATTCTACCGGATTGTTTAAATTGAAGGTTTTAATGAGTGACCTGTCAGTGGGACGTCTCAGCTGTCAAAGTTGTTAAAGCTGCTTGTTGGTTGCAAAGGAGATACACTGTGGCCAACTTCATTGGGAAAAGATTGGAAAGGACTGGAAAGCGACATTGTGTTTTCTATTTTTGCCTTTTTACTTAGTATCTTTCTCCTGTTATTTAAAAGGACAGTAACTTGCTAGGTGGTAACAGTGTCCATCTAGTGGGACTCTCTGTAATTACAGGAAAGGAAAGGAATTTTCCACTTATAAACAGGAACATCAGACGTGGGAAAGGAATTTGACCTTCACTTTGTTATGGCTGATGGTCAAAAAGACCAGTCAACTTTGAGATCAGGGAAACCTTGGACACATAGAAGGCAATCATCTGCTGGTTTGCCTGTATCGGCAATACAATCTAAGTCTGGTGGAATGTCTGAGGAACTTTTAGCCAGTGCTCTGACTAAGATTAATGAATCAATACAGCAATTAAGTACAAAAGTGGGGAGACGAATAGGAAGGTGGAAGAGACGAACCAGAAAGTGGATATTGCAAACAGGAAAATTGATTTAAACACAGAAACATTAGGCAATTTGGAGAAAAAAGTAAACAGCAATACGGAATCTATTCAGAAACTACTGCAAGACTCAAAGTCTATACAGGAAAAACTGCTGCTGTAGAATTTAAATTGGGGCAATTGGAAACTGAAAAAGTACCAGACTTGCAGAAAGAGATTGCAGAACATAAGTTAACGTTGTCTATGACTGACCTTAAAGATAAACAAACGAATCTTAGAATTAGAGCTGTTCCTGAGTTGGAGAAAGGTACTTTGATAGACTTTTTGACACAAGAATTTTTGGACTTTTGGAAATCGGAATTGAAACAAGAGGACTTTAAGATTGTGAGGGCCTTTCGACTGGGGAAAGGAGGAAGTAAGATCAAAATAAGGGACTGTTTGATCACCCTCCGATCCAAAGAAGAAAGGGACAAAATTTTGGGCTTGCATTACGAAAAACCTTTGACAATTATACAATCAAAAGTGGAAATCTTCAAAGATATACCAAAACATCTTCTTGATTTAAGAAAGGACTTTGGAGATTTGGTGGACTTGTTGAGAAAAAATAAAATCCTTTTTAGGTGGGAATACCCCAAGGTCTATCCTTTAGCTTTAAAGGAAGAAAGACCAAGATTAGATCAGTGGAGGAAAAGAACAAGTTTCTGAGTGCATACGAAGAAGATCTACAGAAAGGATTGGGAAAAGACATTGCGATACCAGATAAGGGTCTGAAAAAAAAAGTGAAACCAACGCCACCGACAGATATAGACAATCTTCTTGGGGCTGTTGGAGGAGAAGGAGAGTAACTACAAAATGACACTACAAATCTTAAGCTGGAATATTAATGGTCTAAATTCGTCGGCAAAAAGGGGGAGAGTATTTCATACATTGAAAAAAGAACATTTGGACTTGATCTGCCTACAAGAGACTCATGTGACAAGGCTACATCGGAAAATTTTGATAAATAAAAGATTGGGAGAGGAATTTATTTCATCGGATAATGTAAAAAAAAGAGGGGTAGTACTTTATGTGAAGGAAAGCCTGTCACCAAAATTTATATTTAAAGATGATCAAGGAAGATACATAGCAATTGAAATTCACTTTCAAGGACAGAAATTTTTGATAATAGGCGTATATGCACCAAATGAGGGAAAATCAGAATTCTTTAAGAAACTGCATGAAACTCTCCTGGACTATCTGGATTACAACATTATCTTGATGGGAGATATGAATGGAGTAGTGTCTACAAATATGGATAAAGCCCAAAGACAAACAGTGACAAAAGATGGAAGACTGCCAAAGACATTTTTTGAAATGACTGACAATATGGATCTTGTGGATATTTGGCGAATAAAGACCCCTTGGAAAGAGAAGGAACCTTCTTCTCTGAAGCAAATATGACATGGACAAGAATAGACCAAATCTGGATAACTAGAGGACTGGCTCCTAAAATTAAAAAAGCGGTGATTTGCCCGAAAATTTGCTCTGATCACAATCCAGTAAAGATTGAAATGATACCAACGCCAATTGGGGCCTTTAGATGGAGGATGAATGACTCCTTATTTAGGAATGAGGAAATTATTAAAAAGGCTCAGAAGAATTTGAGAGACTATTTTGAAATAAATTTGAATACTACGACAGAAAAAGAGTGATTTGGGATGCCAGCAAAGCGGTGATGAGAGGATTTTTGATACAACAAAATGCAATCAGGAAAAGATATCAAAATGAGAAGAGAGAAAAAGTTATGGAGAAAATTAAGGATGGAGAAAAAAGACTGAGAGCGAAACCGAACTCACAGGAGATTTTAAAAGAGATAAAGCTATACCAAGTACAATATATGAAATTGATGAATCAGGAGATAGAATGGAAGATCAAACAGATGAAACAAAAGACTTTCGAATCGGCAAATAAATGTGGGAAATTATTGGCCTGGCAAATGAAAAAAAGACAAAAGCTGAATACGATTACGAACTTGGTTGTAGAAGGGAAGAACATACAGAATCCTGGAGAGATTCGGAAGTGCTTTCAGAATTATTTTAAACAGTTATATACGCAGGAGACTCAGAAAGAATTAGACATTGACCGATTTTTGGAAAATAATGGATTACAAAAAGTATCTCAAGAGAGTAAATCAATATTAAACTCTACAATATCTGATCAAGAGGTGGAAGGAGCCATTCAGAATATGAAACTGGGCAAATCTCCAGGGCCGGATGGACTAACTGCAAAGTACTACAAAACTTTGAAAGAATGGTTATTGCAACCGTTGAAAGAACTTTGTAATGAAATACTACGGGAGGAAAAGCACCCGAGTCGTGGAAAGAAGCATACATTACACTTATACCAAAAACCGAAGTGGAGAAGACACAGTTGAAGAACTACCGTCCCATATCCCTACTAAATGTGGATTACAAAATTTTTGCCGAAATTATGGCTAAAAGATTAAAAATGTATTGGTAAAAGAGATTCATAAAGACCAGGCGGGCTTTCTCCTGGGAGACATTTGTCAGACAATACTAGGAACATTCTTAATATTTTGGAAAAATTGCAAGTTAATATCAATACTAAAGCTGTTTTAATATTTGTAGATGCAGAGAAAGCGTTTGATAATATTTCTTGGAGTTTTATGAAGAAAAATTTGCAGGGGATGGGGGTAGGCCAAAGTTTCGAAAATGGTATAGGTGCAATTTATTCGGAACAAAAAGCTAAGCTTATTGTGAACAATGTAGTTACAGAAGAATTTAAGATAGAGAAAGGAACAAGACAGGGTTGCCCAATCTCCCCATTGCTTTTTATATCGGTCCTGGAGGTTCTGCTCAATATGATTAGAAAAGACCAATTGGTTAAAGGTATACAACTCGGAGCTAAACAGTACAAACTGAAAGCTTTTGCCGATGATTTAGTTTTGACATTACAGGAGCCAGAAGCTAGCACAAAAAGAGTGTTACAATCAATCCAAGAATTTGGTCAAGTAGCAGGCTTTAAATTAAACAAGATGAAAACTAAGGTATTAGAGAAAAACCTTACAGAGACAGAGAAGGAGAGGTTTCAGAAAGAGACAGGATTAACAATTGTTAATAAAGTGAAATATCTAGGGGTGAATATGACTGCCAAAAATGTGAATCTGTTTAAAGATAATTACGAAAAATGTTGGTCAGAGGTGAAGAAGGATTTAGAAATATGGTCAAAATTGAAGTTATCATTGTTGGGCCGAATTGCAGCGATAAAGATGAATGTATTGCCTAGAATGTTGTTTTTGTTCCAAACATTACAAATTGTGGATAAAATGGACTGTTTCAAGAGGTGGCAAAGAGATATTTCTAAATTTATCTGGCAGGGCAAAAAGCCTAGAATAAAATTTAAGATACTAACTGTCAGGGGTTCAGGGAGAGAGGCACAGGGTAGGCAGGAGATGGAGAGCGATGGGGAGGAATTCCAAGCCAGCGAGGAAGAGGATGACAATGACTCAAGAGATTCCATGAGTCTTTCCAGCGAATCAGAGGATTCCCAGAAGGGGGCGCCGGTGGTCAAGGCCAGGGAGCCCCAGGGGGGAAGTGTCAGGAGCAGGGTGCCAGCGGAGGATCCCAAAGTGGCAGCTGGGCGTCAGGACCAGCCTCCCCACCAGAGTGCAGCGAAGGGGGTGGAGTTTCCAGTGTGTCAGAGGAAGCAGCTCCAGCAGCAGAGAAAGGAGGGGGTCAGAGCAAGCCACCCTCCCAGAAGGGGAGGGGAGCAGTGAAGGGAGTAGTGTAACTGTCAAAAGGAAAGTTAGAGGTTTGGCGCGCGCGCCTAGTTCAAATGTAGAGGCGCGCGGAAGTGCAGGGAGCCCGGAGGAGGGGCCAGGTCCCAAAGCCCGCAGGAGGGGGGAAGAGCAGTCTGATTCCGCGTCAGAGGAATCCAGGAGGGGCGAAACCCCAGTGGGCAGAAGGACCCTGCGGAAAAGGAAGGAGAGAAAGAGGTGGAGCAGCGCAAGTCTCTTAAATTGGTGCAGGGGAGGTACTGACTCAGAGGGGACTTCAGCGGTCTAGCGTAAGAGACGTAAGGCTGCGCGCCTAGGATGTCAAGCAAACCATGAACTGCAATAAACACCTTTGTATATAAGAAGACATAGGCGTTGGTCTTTTGTGAGCTAAGACTTGAGGCAGCCTTGACAGTAAGTCCCCTCTCAAAACAAAAAAACCGCAAAATTTTTTTTTGCACAGCTCACGAAGTTTGGCAGCAATGACTACTGAGGAGCAGATAGCGTCCCTGCAAAACGCAGTCACCGAGCTCTCCACTGCTGTCGTGGTTTCTCAGAAGACAGTTGCTGAAGCAGAAGCGCGATGCCAGGATCTGCAAGCCAGGTGGGATCGGGCGTGCAGAGAGGGGTTCCCGGGGTCCAGATCAGAGGGAATCGGACTCGGACGGAGGGGGGGCAATTTAGTAGCCCACTTCGATGGGAACCTGAAGCATTATCCCAATTTCAGAGCAGACGTATACGCACTGCATTTGCTTCGGAAAGACTTCAAAGATGAGGAGGAAAAAGTGGGGTTTATTGTGTCTCATCTGCATGGGGAAGCAAGAAACTGGCTACGCAATTTGTGGCGCGAAGATGGTCTTGCACGCAGGGACTCTGATGAATTTCTCAAAGCCATGGACGCTTGCTTCCAATCTACTGTTGACGTTGATGTGGCACGCCAGGAGATGCATGGATTGCGGCAGGGCAAGGCTACAGTGCGTCAGTACCATTC